CAATTTCAGCCAGACACGTCAAACAATTAAATATATAACGCGTTTTTTCTCTTTACGGTGCCAATTTTGGACGAACAGGAATTTCGCGATGTCATTTTTTTTTTCCGTGGCGAGATCTAAAACCACTCGCGACTGCCTCCGGCAAAGAATCGTATTTTTAACTGTCTCTCTGCCGCTGCATTTTTCTACGAATTTTCCACGTTGAGAGAGAGAGAGTGTGTGTGTTTGCTTTATACTTTAATTCCATTATTTTTTGATATCTTTATTTTCAGCAATTTAGGCGTGTACGTTTAGATAACACTTTACATTAATCAGATCATAAGTTCCATGATGTATCGTATTCTGATATCTCATTGTAATTAATCAGTATCAATATAAAATAGTAAATATTTAAATCGAGATTTGATAAATTACGGTACGTGTGTACGTGTGCAATTTAAATCATCCAATTCAAGTTGTGATGCAAATGAGTTCAGAAACACGAACGATCCTCAATACATATTTTTATTTCGACAAATTCGCGTTCGTTTATTACACAAACGCTCGCTTGATGCACGCAACGATACGAATACACAAAGCACAAGTTCTATCGAAATGGGCACTTGTTCGTTGTGAACGCACCATTACGGTTCAAAGCAACCGCAGTCTCGAATTGCAAATTCATTTGATAAGTCGACGATCGCCAACGAGAAGGAAAAGACGAAATGGCGAGTCGATGATCAATTCGATGGCCACGGCGACAGATCAGTCGAGAAACAACGAAACAACTTGCTCGTTACAACCAGAAATCGCTCGTAAATTCATTTCGATGCTCGTGCTGCGTAATTTCGCCTACTGATTCCTACCCACCGCCGTACTCCAAATATTTTTCTGGCTCTCTGCACCCCAAAGCCGGGAATTTAAAAGCTCCGGCATACGGCCGGAACGCTAATTGTCAGGCTCGATGATCCGCGATCCTGCCTGTGCCCGATAATCGAATTTCACGATTGCGCCATGCAATGATGCGTGCCCGTACACGTTTTTCGTTCGAATCATCTGACCATTCGTTTCAACACTAAATTTTGCCTGGACGATCGCTACTAAATGGTGCCGTGTCTTTATTGTTGTCGTCTTTAATGAGACGAGCTCATTTAATTATTCGCAATGTATTGTCATACGTCTTTTCGATTTCTTTTTTTTGTCTTCTTTTGTTTTGCAATCTCTTATGTGAAGTTGATCTCCATTATCAATGCTAAAAGAATCGACGTGTTGAAATATTAATCATTATTGAACGATGATAATTAAAGTGAATAGATTTACACAATTATGTTTCTGTTCAAACAGAAATCAATATTAATTTCGACAGAAATACTCGTGTCTTTTAAACGATTGTTAAGGAAAGAAGATTCAAGTTGTTTTAATTGTTTTAAATTTGCTTTTAAGTATTATATATAATATATTTAAAACGTGAACTTGTATAATGACGAATACAAGAAGAAGATAAATACGAATGAAAGAAGAATCCAT